CATTTGTTTTGTAGGACTTGATTTATTTGGCATTTTAACATTATCGTTTCTTTTGTCTACTTGCATTTCTTATCTCTCCACAGAAAACATAAATTTGAGTATATAGTTTTGCTGAATTTAATATGGCAAACTCAAAAGAATGAAAATAAAGGAGCTATAAGAAAATAGAGATGATGATGATTGCATTTACTAAAAAGGCTTGGTGCACTTAATCAGTTCTAGATGAAGATTTGTTTGTTGACATCCATTTTTAGCGGGCTTCTTGTTTTCTATCTAATCCCTTCTTATGATGCATGCAATACATTTAACATAAATATTTTCTTTGTTATTCCAATTTTCAACTTATTTTAATATAGACTATAGATTAGAATAATGTCATTTACAAATGTTATATACCGTGATATTCCTCTCATTAAATATCTTTTATATAAACATTTTAATATTTAGTGTACTATGGTACATATTTAATAATGAGTTTTGATTTGATTCTACTTAGATTGGCAACCATTTAGTCGCCTTAAAATTAGTTTTCACACCCACACCCACACTCACAACCACACCCACGCTGGCCTTTGGTAATAAATTTTCAGTTAAAAGATGATGAAATCAACGAAAGACAAATATTATTTTGAGGTAATATCCAGAAGATAGCTTTAAAGAAAAGACACAATTATAAAAAATTACAAAGTACATAACAAATTGATCCTAATAAATAAAGTTAATTCCAAATAAAATGCATAAAAGTAAAAGTTTAGGTTCATATGAGATATCATTTGAAATCTGGCGAGTTATGAAAAATATTGAAGTTGTTTGGTTAACAAAGCTTAAGTTTGATATTTTAATGATCAAAATATTAAACTTTTTAAAAAGAAACGCTTTGATACTAGCATTTTTAAACGGAGGTGTTCAAAATAATTTGATTCAACTCAAGTTCTTCTAATAGTTAAAAAAATTACTAATTAATGATAATTAATCTTAGATTGTATCATATGATGTAGATAGTATTGTATGATATGCTATACTATGCTTTGAATTAAATTAATAGAATCAATTTTGCATTAATTGATTATTTACAAAAATTTCACTAGTTATTCTAAACAGACTGTGTGCAATGGTAGAGGAAAACGGATTGGCCAGGCGGCTGAATGGTAGAAAACAGCTGTTTCCTGGTGGCAGCAACAAGCTGGATTGACGGTGACAATGGTTGGGAATGCAGGGGACTGCAGGACAGCTAAATGAGGGTTGTCCCAGGGCTTTGGCAGCGAAGATGATGGCTAGACATCGAGTTACTGCGGGAAGAACAACGACGGTCGTTCAGGGGCGGCTACAACCATGGAGGTGGCCTGGAGCGAAGGATGTAGAAAGGGATAGACAAGATAATCACCATTTTAGGAGAGAGATATTGCCGAAGCACCGCCCAATCTCTCAGATATAGCCCTTAAAGGGAAAAAAAAACCGGACGTCAATGGTTTTCCTATACAAAACACACGAAAAACCAACCCTAAAACTTCAGAAATACAAATATATAATAATAGGATAGCAAGGAGTGGCCCAATAGGACTGGCTAACTCCTCAACTGTGACAGAACTTAGATTAGTTCGATTAGGCGTGAAAATGACGCCCGCATGGTCGTGGATGGTCTTCCGCGTTTGGTTCTTATATGCTGAATCACGGAAGGCATCCTTGTATGCGGCGCTCTGACGTAAAAAATGCTAGTATCAATGTGTTTCTTTGTAAGAAGTTTGGTATTCTGATTATTAAAATATCAACCTTAAGATTTGTTAACCAAACAACTTGAATATCTCTCATAACTCTCCATATCTCAAATGATATCTCATATGGGACCTAAACTTTTACTTTTCTGCATCTTATTGGAATTAAACTAACTTTTTTTATGAGGATCAAGTGATTTTTATTCCTTTTTTTTATAAATGGGTTTTTCTTTAAAGCTCACTTTTTATATTCCCTCAAAATAATATTGTATTTATTTGATTTCATCATCTTGAGTTGAAATCTTATTAGAATCATTTCTTATATATCTAATTTACTCAAAATATTAAAATCAACTAACACGAATTTCAACTATTTTAATTTCTGCTTATATTCTTTTTTTAACCAGTAATATGTAGGTTTTTTTGTTATTTTTCTACTTGGAAGTCTTGTAATTTTCTTAGAGTTAATGTAATACTTTGTACTATTTATTTTTCCCTTTTAAATATACATTTTTTAGTTAACAGCATGTTGTTTCTTCTTAGTACACCATCATATCTCTTTATTATATGCATTTAACTTATTTTTAGATTCTCATGAATCTTTGGCAGTCTTCTTGATGCAACCATCTCGTCTCTTATCAATTTTGGTTAAGCTATTGATTTTTGTTATTCTCCTCTAACAACTTATCTTAGAAGATCACTCTTTGAACACTTACCTTAGAATATTAACTAACCTATCATCTTTCAGATTGTGCCATCTTTTCATAGGTAAATTACTTCTTTTAGCTTTTTTTATTTTTCCAAGGCGAACATCCTTTGATCTTGTTTAATAAAGACTTTTGCTTGAATCACCCTCATAATCTTTGGAAAAATTTTTTTCTTGCTATATGCGTAAGAAAAATTGTATTTATGATTTTGGTTGTGCACTTTTGGACAAGACTAAGTTTCTAATCATTTGTTAAAGTGCTCTTTTCCTTTTGCATGATCATGATTATGGGCTAGTCCAAGTTAGGGATTCATGTGGTTGATGTTTTATGCTTGCTTTTGAGGTAAGAATTAGCTAGCAAAGGGCCAGTGTTATTTGCTATTTTTTTAGAATTTGCTATGGAACAATTGTATCTAAAATCATTGTAAAAAAATATGATTAAGAAAATAACTTCAAAAAATTTTGATGATGAAACCATAAAAAAGGTAGATCATATCAAATGAGGCCAACTTACTAGTCTATGACATGTTATTTTTTCCTTTTTTTTCACGTACCCAATGAGTTCTTTCATAACGTCTGACGAAAAGCTATTGTGGTGATCCGATTATGTTTGCTGTACAATGTCTTGATAGATATTTTGGAGGAATTTTTTGTGGGAGTGATGCCCAAATTAACTAAATGGTAACAAGAAATGCAACTTTTGTTACAGAAAGCAAACAGGGGTTGCAACAAGCACACAATGAAAGACATACAACACAAACACCAAAATAGGGGTCTTGATGCTACAATTGGAGGAGGATTAATAAGTATGGATGGCTGGATGGTTGAGAGGCAACAAGGGGAGGGGCGGCAATAGCAGGGAAGGTGATTGATGGCTGTTATGTGGCTGAAAGTGGGGGGTAGCAAGGTTTTGGTGTAGGGCTGCAGCTGGGTTTTGGAAGAGTTGTGGTAAGTGGAATGTGGCTTGGAAAGGGGCGACGACAAGAAATAAAGATTTAAATGTAAAAGAAAAACAACATCTTTTAATTCTACAAGCCCTTAAATCCCATTTCTCCTCCGATTTGTCTTAAATCCCGGGTTTAGAAACCCATTAGAAATGGATTTATGGGATTTAGAAACACTGATGCGCATGTGAGGGAGGAAGGCCAGGAATAACTTCCTCAATGGTTTTTGGTAGGAGCGGACGGAAGGGGAGGAAGGTACGTTTTACAGTCTCTGCACGCCGCTACTTCTCTACGGCTCTAGTAGCAGCTCTGTCGCAATGGCTCGATCACTATGGCGGCTGGTTGGGCGAAATTGGGAGAGTGAGGAGAGGAGATTGGTAGGTTTTGGTGGACACAAGAGGCGAGAGAGAGGTAACACATACTCTGTTCATATATAAAGGAGAGGTGGTAGTCGATCCACAAATTGTGAAGGTGGAAATAGAGAATCGACAAAAAAAGGAAGGAATCACGAGCCTGAATTGGGAAAGCAGCGGGAAAGGAAAGAAGCGCATAAAAGGAAAAAAAAATCATTCTTACATTTGTTTAGATATTTTTTTAGTATAATTAATCATTCTAACAATGTGTCTGGTTCAAAGTCTTAACTTCCAATATGCTGCTTTTACAGCCAGTTTTTGCAAGTGTGGTAATTTGTCTTCTTTAAGTTATTCTTAACATAGGCTTTTTATTTTTTGTTAATTTTCTTTGCTCTACTTTATCTATGTCCTGGTTATTTTTTCCTACATTGATGTTTATTCACAAGTAGAATTTTTGTCATGCTGTTGCACAATCTTTTGATATTAAATTATAGGGGTATTTATATGCATAGCACCCAATTCCTATGTATTTACATATCTCACAACTAAACTTTCATATTCACACACATAGCACTCAAATCTTTAAATCATATTAAAAAATAGCACTGTTACCACCTTTTAAAAGTGAAATACACGTTTAAAGCATGAAATTGTTGTGTATGTAAATATGAAAGTTTAGATGTGAGATATGTAAATACATAAGAATTGTGTACTTGGCATGTAAATTTCCCTAAACTATAATGATAATTGGCTCACGCCAATGTGATTCATGATGGGTGCATTCAAATGACAAATCCCTTTATTAATCCTTATTCTGCTCTTATCTTGAAACTGCTTTGTGCTTCTGCCAATCAACTCGTTGCATGATACTTGGGATGTCGTAAGTATTTTACTTGCATCTTGTTGCATTTATAATAATTTATTTCTGGTTTTTTGCATCTTTAGCTCTTTTGTCGCAGTGTTACTTATTTTTTCTACCACAAAATATAAGGTTTATTTACATTACACCTCGCAATTCTCATTTATTTACCTAACACCTAAACGTTGATATTTACAGACATACCACTCAAGTCTTTAACATTACATAAAAAATACCACCATAGCAACTTTTTTTTTAAAGTGAAATATACCTTTTCATGCATAGGTTTGTGAACCAAGGTATTATAAGTGTAAATATCAACTTTGGATGTTAGATATGTAAATACATAAGAATTATGTGGTATGTATGTTCATTTTCTAAAATTTAAATCTGTTGCTATATAGTGTTGATGGGTTTAATGTGCAGGACTTGAGGCAAAGAGTATTCATCAGATAATTAGATAAAATGGCGTTTACCGGTATCAGAAAATGTTTGGTGTTTTCTATCAGGTCTATTTGGATATCCATTTGTCAACATCCCTTCGTAGCAGCCTTCCTGCTTTCAGTGCTGTTTCTGTACATATATTTTCCTTCCATCTTCACTTTCATCATCCATTCCTCTCCTGTGATTGCCTGCACCGCCCTTCTTCTCGGAGCTCTTTTAGTTTATGGGGAATTCGATATTCGCGAGAGTGAGGATGTAAAGAGTTTGAATGCCTCTGTGAAAGTTGCTGAAAATGAAGAGAGATTTAGGGATTTTGCTGTTTTGAAGAAAGATGAGAATGTCAGTGATGGAGGATTGATGAGTTTAACCAAGGTTGGTCCTTTTAATGGCAATGTGGATGAAGAGGATATCATGAACTTAGCTGCTAGCTCTTCAAGCAAAACTGCTGAAGAAGAAACACAAACTGAGATAGAGTTTCGCGATCGTGAATTCATTGAAAAGAAACTATTTTTTATTGAAAATGCTGCTGAAGGCTTGAAGGTAGATGTTGAAAAGCCTTTAGACAACCAGTTTGATTCTTCTCTTGGTTCTCCTTGGCAGCAAGTTGATAGCCATGATGTTTCTTCTAACTCTGAGTCTGATGAATCTGATGAATCTGATGGTGAAGAGAGTTTGTCTCCTCGTACATCTATGACAGACATCGTTCCCATTATGGAAGAACTTCATCCTCTTCTTGAATCTGAAAATCCACAGCCAGTTCATAGATCCTCTGATGCATCTGATGCATCTGATGCTGCTTCTAGGGCTTCCTCTCCAGAGCGTGAATTTGATGATGGTAGTGCAGAGGAAGAAACTGAAAACCAAGCGGATGAGGAAGATGAAGAGGCACAAGGGGAGAAGGATAATGATGAAGCTGCTGTGAAATGGACTGCAGATGATCAGAAGAATCTCATGGATCTTGGGAGTTCAGAGCTTGAAAGGAATCAAAGGTTGGAGAACTTAATTGCAAAAAGAAGAGCCAAGAAGCTGCAAAGGTTTCAAACTGATAAGAACCTTATTGATCTGGATACCGAACCTTTGCCATTTATGGAAGAAATGTCGAGATTAAATGTTCAAATTCCAGCAATTTCTGTACCGAGAAATAATCCTTTTGATTTGCCCTTTGATTCTGAGGAGAATTTTGGTTTGCTGCCAGTTCCAGGCTCAGCTCCTTCAGTTCTGCTTCCACGGAGAAATCCGTTTGATCTTCCTTTTGATCAAAATGAAGAAAGCAGGAAGCACTCCGGTGAAAGCTCTAGGCCCTATGATGTATCAATTTCACAGAGGGATCCCTTTCCCAAGGAGATTGATAATTTAAACCTTGGCGCAGTTTCGGATGATGTCAATCAAGAGAAAAATGAGCCCAAATTAAAGCCTTATTTTGTTCCAGAAAAAATGAATGGGACGAGTTTCGGATCATTTGAGCATCAATTAAGTGAGGAGAGCGATGATTCTGACGCAAGCTCAGCTTCTGAATCTGACTCAGCTTCGGCGGTTTTCAATCTGGACCCCGAGTTATCGAAATACGAAACAGATGAACGAGTATCATCTGTAAACCAAGATTTCGGATCCGCGGAACATGAAAGTGATTTATCGGTTGAAGTTGGTTCCGTTAATCTTGACCAAGAACACATTGGAGCAGATGCAGGTTTTTATAATCTCCACTAATTTAAAGTGCCGAAAATAGTCCCCTGGCTATTTACATGGAGCTATTTTATTCATACGTGTCAATAAAAGTGTTAAATTAGTCACTAGACTCTTTTAATATTGGTTGAATTATCCCCGTAACGACTATTATCGTCTCCATTAGAAGTCTAGAGACTAATTTAACACTTTTATAGACTCTCAGACTAAAATAGACCCCTACAAAGAGCCAGCTGACCATTCTGACACTCTTCTCAATTTTTTTACCCTCAAAATATATAATCAAGCTGCAATTATTTCTGCAGTGGAAGTTGAAATTGGAGAAGCGGACTCTAGTTCACCTGTTTCAAGTACTACAAACTTAGAAGTGATTGATGAGAGGTATGATGGATCAAGTTCTTCCCCTTCTTCTGAAGAAGATGATAAATCTATTGAAACAAACATTCATATAGAACCAATTAATTCAGAAGTAGCTGTGGTAACTCATGTCGGCCGAGTAATCGAACCAGTTTATGATTCTAGCCCCGGTGCGAAGTCCACCTCCCACATTCTATCTCCAGAAACTTTATCTCCTAATCCTAAAGGTTAATCCAAACACCACACTAGCTGGCCAACATTATAGTCTTCTCTCCTTTTCATTGCAACTGATGATGCATATTTTTGTTTCTCCAGCTGAAGAAGGCTTCAGGACAGATTCTTCATTGGCATCTGACATGCAAGCAAACTTGCAAGAAGTGTCTTCAACTCCAAAGACCTCTGAACAAAGTACAGTTTTCAGTGGAGGAAAAGCTTCTGATTTATAGGGGTAGATTCAGCCCCAGTGCTGCAAACAAGTCTGAACAGTCTTGGATCTTCTGCTGCTGAAATATGGAAGAGAGTTTATGCATATTTGTTTAAGAGCAAATGGCTTATTTTTGTTATATTTCAAAGGGTTGGTAACGTTTCAGATCTTACAAAATTGAGATTTGTGCTGTTCTTTTACTTTCCGGATGAAAATTGCATTGAAAATCTGCAATTTTTTGTGGAGAAATTGCATGTTTTTAAGTTAAGGTCGTGTACAGAGGATTTTTGCGTTAATGGAACATTTGAATGGTGATAGTGGTTAGTAGCTTGATGTAAAATAAGTTGGGGAGGTTTACATGGATATCACATAATTTCTATGCATTTATATATAACACTTATAATTTGATATTTATTTTTATAACACTTTAGTATCATAAAATTATGTATGAAGAGGTGTATTTCCCTTTTAAAAAGTTAGTGATAGTAGTATTTTTAATGTTATATTAAATATTTAAATGTTATGTAAATATAAAAGTTTTGTTGTTTTATATATAAATACATAAGAATTGTGAATGTATTTACATACCTCATATCAAAATTTCATATTTACATGCATATCATTAGGGTGCTTAAAATTTATACACGAAAATGTTTATTTTATTTTTAAAACTTAATAAGTTCTAAAATAGTCTCCGATTATTCTCATTGGGCCATCTCTCAAATTTTATAGAAGTGTCAGAATAGTTTCTGATTATTTTTAAATTGAATTTTAATAATTAGTTGGGGATTATTTTGATATTTTACTCTTATTTGTAAAGATTTGAGTGTTACGTGTGAATATGAATGTTTAAGCGGGAGATGTGTAGATACACAATAATTGTACGCTATGTAAGTAAATGCCCCCTTTTTTAAAGAAAGACTCGCTCAACCACCACTTTCTTATCTATTTACATATCTACAACTAAACTTTTTACAAATATGCCGTCTTACCTAAGAATGAAACTGTATATTTCTCTTTCGAAAAATATTAGAAGTGGTATTTTTAATGTGAAGCAAAAGATTTGGATGGTATAAATGTAAAAATTAATATTTAATTATTAAATATATTAATACATAGGAATTTTGGGTGCTTAGCTTAGATTCTCTGTTATCTTTAGCTGTAATGATATTCTCCTACATTGAATACCGTTCGAGAACTTTGGTCGACCTTGCGAATTCCTCTGTTTTCTGAGTGCTTAATTACAAAAGTATTTAATTGAAGTTACATCCGTATTACATCAGAAGGTATAAGAAGCTACACCGTATTATATCTCTTTAACCTCTCAATAATCTGCATGTAATGAGTTTCGCGCTTTCGTAGATCCACTTGTTAGAGATAAGTGAGCTCTGAATAACCTGGCACTTACGCAGCGCTGCTTACGTGCGCAAATATTTTCCCGTCGGGGGCGGGATCTCTCTTCCGAATTCCGTTTGTATTGGCTTGCGCTGCTCTCCGAGACTAGGTTTAACGCCAAGGAGTGGTATTCGGCGAAGCAGTAGGGTAATGGCCGGCGCCGCTGGCGAAGGTCAGCGGGAAAACCTCGAAGCTATTCGTTCCGTCGTCTTTAAGGAATCTGAAACCTTGGACGAGGTGAGATTTCAGAAGATCTCTGGCTATGATTTCAACCGCGGCGTTGATTTCAGAGGGCTTCTGGATTCCATGGTCTCCACTGGTTTCCAGGCATCAAACCTAGGAGACGCCGTCGAGATCGTCAATCAGATGGTGCGTTTTCTTACTTTTGTCTGCTATTCGAATTTCTCAGATGTTTTCCGTTCTGTCAGGGACTTTGTAGAAACTAGACTGATGTCTTTGTTTGATTTCACTACTTTTAGTGTGTGTGCGGGGGTGTGTGTGTGTGTGTGTTTTTTTTTTTTCCGTGCAATCGAGTTTTTGGAATAAAATGATTTTTAATATGTCTATTTTATCGTTGAAGTTGTTTTAATGTAATTTTTTATGTTCAATCATACTGAAGTTAGATTGGAGGCTTTCCCATGAGAAACCAACAGAAGATTGCGCCGAAGAAGAGTTGGATCCTTCGTTCAGGGAATCCGTCAAATGCAAAATTTTTCTGGGCTTTACTTCGAATCTAGTATCATCAGGTGTTCGGGATATCATCCGGTTTCTTGTGGAGCATAGAATGGTTAGTACCATGAAAGCAACTACTTCTGCATGCACTAGTAACCATCCTTGATTTTTTTTTTTTTTTTCTGGCATTTATTGTCAATGCATTTTGATTTTATCCTTTATAATGCAGAGCTGCTGACCTCATAGGTTTGTTAAATATCTAATTCAATTTGATTTTCTTCTACATATCAATGCTACTTCAATGGACATTATTTAATGTTTAATAATTTCATCATCATGATTCTTTGAAGTATATTAACTACAAAAAAATAAAAGCAATGCATTTTTTTTTAATTTTTTAATAGGACTTATCTGATATTTTGCTGATTTGGTTGCCGATCATCTAGTTTCTCCTTCTGCTAGCTGCTCTTGCAACTCCTCCTTCTCTCCAGGGCTTCAGAGCTTCGGCACAGCTCCTTGTGTCGCAGATAGGGTTATTATACTGTAACATTTTTAGCTTTTATATTGAGGCAATTTTTATATTGAGGCAATCGTATGCCAAATATCTATTGTACCCTTTGCTGTATATTACAAGTTTGCCACTTGTAATGTTTATAAATAGCTTTACCTGTAACCGAGTTTGATATAATAAAAGCTTACTTTTGTATTTCATTTTCCTTCTCTATTCTCTTCTCTCTGTTATTTCATGGTATCAGAGCTGTTAGCCTCACAACAGCTACAATATCCATGGATTCAACATCCTCAACCACTCCTCATCTCATTCAACAATCTCAAGGACCTCTTCACAGGATGCAAGAAACTCACATTTCTGCACCGTTTAAATTCTTGATACAGCACATAAAAAACGTGACAAATGCTCCTCTGGCTTTAAAAAATTATGTTGTTTGGAAGGTACAGATTTTGAAACTTTTCTTTGCGTATGAGTTTGATTCTTTTCTTGATTTCAAAAAAACCCCACAGAAACCCAAACAGAAAATCCAGATTATGCCCTCTGGAGATTAGTTGATCAAAATTCGGCTGCAGCTATCTTTTCAACCATTTCACCCTCTTTTTTACCCAATGTATTTCACTTGAACAACACAACAGATATTTGGATTATCTTAGAAAGTAGATTCTAATCAGCCAATCGTTCACGGTTTATCTATCTAAAAAATGAACGTCACAATATTAACATGGGGACTTAGACCATTGTTCAATATCTTACAAGCATAAAAAATATTGTAGACAACACAATTGACGTTGCATCTAAGGTAGACAATGAAGATATTATCCTATATACCTTAAATGGCCTATCCCCCCAATTACCAAGGTTTTAAACAACTATTAAAACTCAGTTACTTCATAGTGAGGAAAGTAATCTTGTCAATGGAATTTTAAAATCCACCCAAAGAACAACCCTTCTCAACTATAAAACCAAAAACTCTTTCTTGAAATCATGATTTTCTTCCATGAATCCACAAAACAACAAACCCATTTCTCACAATAGCTCCCAATCCAACAACCAATCATTTTATGTCAGATATGTCACAAGAAAGGACATTCAGTGACTCAATGTTGGCAGATGACTAACTTACAATATAAACATCTCCCAACAGTTCAACGACTGCTCTCAATGCCACCGTAAGCTCAAAGAATCAAGACCAGGCTCTCGATACAAGTGCTACATCACATCTAACTCCATATCTCGACAACATCCAACAACCTACTCCCTATAATGGATCAGATCAAGTAATTGTAGGTAATGGACAACCAACCGAAATTTTCCACATTGTAAATGGTCTCCTTCCTACTCTGGATTGTAAGCTTACTCTTTCCTCTATACTCAGAGTTCCAAATATTTCTCACAATGTAATTTCAGTTTTAAACATGCTCAAGACAATAACAGTTCTATCACTTTTCATGCTAAGGAGTTTATTATAAAGGTCATAGCACAAAGAAACTTCTTCCCAATAGTCAACTTAATAAAAGATTATATCCCTTTACAGTGCTTATAGCCACCATCCATCCTATGACTTGGCATAAATTGGTTAGGTCATCCACACCCCAAAGTCATTCATCACATTGCTAAACAACATCCCCACTTACAAATACACACACTTTAACTTGTCAAAAATGTTATCAAAATAAAAAGCCATAAACAGCCTTTTACTGTCAGCACTAATAAATTTTCTTTGTTGCAAATTATATGTTATCTTTATAGATGCTTATTCTCGTTTTTGCTAGTATTTTCCTTTATATTCTATATTTGAATTGTCACTTTTTTTTATTACCTTGCATAAACAATTGAAAATTAAACATTACAAAAATTTTAAATATTCAAGATCTGATGGTGGTGTTGAATATAAATTTACTCAACTTCAGACTTATTTGCAAAACAGTGATATCCATCATCAATTTAGCCGCCCTTATCTCCCACAAAAAAATGAGGTAGCAGAACAAAAAAATTAGACATATTATAGAAACGTTAGAACTCTTTTTAACACAACTTTCTTATTACTAAAATTTTGGATGACAGCTATGCATACAATAATTTGTCACATTAATCATCTGTCTTCTCATAACACTTACAACAAATCACCATTCCAGCTTTTATTCAAAGCACCTGAATATCAAAACCTGAAAACTTTCAGTTGTGCCTATTTCCCATAACAACCACATTTTATGCATCATAAATTTACTCCGAAGGTTCCTCTCTGTATGTTTTTGGGCTACAGTCAACATAAAAAAGGCTACCAGTGTTATGTTGTTCATCAAGATTGCATCATTATTTCACGCCATTTTACTTTTAATGAACTTTCTTTCCTCTTAAAGAAACCCAACCACTTGTGACCCATACACCAGCTTTTTTTCTTTACTCCCCCGTCTCTTCTAATACCCATCTCAACTATCAATTCTTCAACTCCCACCCCCTCCCTCAACCTCTCAACAACAGCACTTCAGAACCCATTCCCCTACTATCTTCTCCTCCTCACACCAGTCTTTCGATTGACCCCTCATCTGCACCTCATAACACTACCAATGCTACATCATATATCTCTATTACCAATTCCTCTCCTATATCTTTTTCACTCCCTCCCATCAACACCCACCATATGACTACAATTACACAAACAAGCAAAATAAAACCTTAAAAAAATTTTCCACTTTCTCATCACACTTCCTCCGACAAACCCATTACCTTTAAACAAGCCATCCAACATTCCCATTGGAGAAAGGCAGCGTCAGACAAATTTATAACACCCTTCAACAGCAATGGATATCGACTCATGTACCACATCCCCTCAACAAAATGTTTTAGGCTGCAAATGGACCTTTCGAATCATGCACTATACCGATAGATCTATTGCTCATTACAAAGCCAGGTTGGTAGCCCAAGCTTCAAACTTCAACAAGTACTGAATTTCAGGAAACTTTTAGCTCTATTGTCAAATTCTCTACTATTCACATGCTTATTGCTTTAGCCACTAATGAACACTGAGATATTAAGCAATTTGATGTTTCCAATACCTTTTTACATGTCAAAGTAAATATTAATATATATGTCTTAACCTTCTGATTTTACAGATTATAAATTATCCGTAATATGTATGTAAGTTAACTAAAACAATATATGGCCTCAAACAAGTATCGAGGCGATGATATTCAATATTTGTAACTATTTATATACTCAAAAGTTTAAACTCAGCACTTTTGATCATTCCTTGCTCATATATCATCATAACAATAGTAGTGTTTATTTACTTCTATATGTTGATGACATTCTTATCGCTGAAAATTCACCGATTGAAATTAATCGCTTAATACACATATTATTCAAACAATTTAATGTAAAACAGTTTGGTTGTCTCTCTCATTTTTTCGGTTTGCAAATTAATAAAACTGCTACTGGCTATTTTTTACATCAAACCAACTATTAATCTGATCTTTTAACAAAAGCCGGTATGATGCAATCCAAATCTGTTTTAATGCCTTTACCACTTCTGCTACACAAAAACCATATTCATTCTTCACCTCTTTCCAATCTACAACATTATAAACATCTCATTGGTGCCTTACAATACCTTACTGTTACTCGACCAAATATAACTTTTAGTGTTAATTTTCTAAATCAGTATATGCATGATTGGACTACCCTTCATTTTCAATTTCTCAAAAGAGTATTAAGGTATTTTAAAGGCACTTCCAATCATGGTCTGGCAATGACGGCTGGAACGCTTTCCCTATATCCTTATGCAAATGCAGATTGGGCAAGTGATAGCAATGATAGAAAATCAACAACATGTTTTTGTACGTACCTCGGTCCCAATTTAATTTCATGGTCAGCAAAGAGACAAACCACTGTTGCATGATCATCTAAAGAAGCTGAATATTGTGCTCTTGACACCACCACCACAGAGATTCTATGGCTACAACGATTACTTCAAGAACTTACAACCATAATCCTGTTTTTCACGCAATAACAAAATACATTGAGGTGGATTATCATTTTATCAGATATCACATCAAACTAAAGCACATAGTTTTTCAACACATTATGACTGAAGATCAGCCAACAAATATCCTCACTAAAGCTCTGACAACCAAAAGACATCACGATCTTGCAAGCAAGTTGACCATTCAACCTCTCGATGCTCAACTTGAAGGGGGGGTAATAGGACTTATTTGATGTTTTGCTGATTTGGTTGCCGATCTTCTAGTTGCTCATGCTAGCTGCTTTTGGTTCTCCTCTCCAGGGCTCCAGAGCTTCAGCACAGCTCCTTGTGTCGCAGATCTCAGCTAGGGTTATTATCCTGTAACACTTTTAGCTTTTTTTATTAAGGAAATTGTATTCCAAATGTCTATTGTGCTCTTTTGCTGTAAATTACAAGTTTGCTACTTGTAATGTTTCTAAATAGCTTTACCTGTAACAAAGTTTGATATAATAAAAACTTACTTTAGTATTTCATTTTCCTTCTCTTTTTTCTTCTCTCTGTTATTTCATTTTGACTCTATGAAGTATATTAACTCCATAAAAATGAAAGAATGCATTTTTTTTTTCATTTTTGTTAGTTTTACTCATTTTTAAATGTAAACTGGTTTGAATGACATTTTCAGGTGGATGTTGTGGTTACAACTGCTGGTGGCATAGAAGAAGACCTTATAAAGTGTCTTGCACCGACATATAGAGGTGATTTTTCTTTACCTGGGGCGTATCTTCGCTCTAAAGGATTGAATAGAATTGGGAACCTGTTGGTTCCTAATGATAATTACTGCAGATTTGAGAATTGGATCACTCCAATTCTTGACCAAATGCTAGAAGAACAATCAATGAAGGTACTTTTAGCAGTGTTATTTTTAAAATTCTAATATTAACAGATGGATGTGGTAAACCAAGAATGATAAAATGTGTAATAATTATGCCAGAGAGCTTGTGGAATTAGCACTTCTTCAAGACAATTTCAATTAATAAAAGTTGGCTTAGATGATTTGAACATGTGCATTAGGGAGGAAAACATGCTTTTATATGATTAATTGATAGTGTTAATGCATTGCAAAAGAAGTACTAGTTCAAAGATATTTTGGCTAGAAGTTGTAAAAAATGTACTGATGTAATCTTCAATTGATATTTCATGCAAAACTCAATTGAAATGAAGGGAGTAGCTCGTCATGCCTATATCAAATAGTCTGTATGAATCCGTTGTTTCTCTGGTTGCAGTTGCTGATGATCATTAATAGTTGAATAGAAATTGGTTTATATTCTGTCTTAATATTTTTTTGTTGTGATGTTCTAGGAAATACTAAATGAATTCTATTGCTTTTTTGCTGATATTTTTTATTCATTTATTCAAGTTTAGTTTTCCCATCATGTTAGTATTTCTTGAGTGGTTTTGCAAAATTATATATGCAATGATTTGCTAATCTAGTGACCGTTCAGTCATTTGTGGTTTTCAAAGTTTAGAACACATATGGGAGAGATCGGTAAGCTATTGGCATGCATTAACAAGGTGTTATGAAGTGGACCATTATGAACATTTAGTCATATCCTGTCTATTTGTGATCAGCTTTATATATATATATATATATATATATATATAATGTTACATGCTATTAACCGTTTGAATATTGTTCGGCTCACTTAATCTGATGGTTGAATATATTTTCTCCAATGTTCAAGGCCTAGCACATGTGGGGGTATGTGTGAGTTTAAAACAGAAAAAACATTTGCATTTATATCACATAATTATTATCCGTTTACATATCCAACACCCAAACTTTCATATATTCATGCATAACACTCAAATATCTAAAATTACATAAAAAATACCACTACAACTGACGTTTAAATAGTGAAATTCACTTTTTCATGCAAAAATTATGACATTAGTGTTATAAATTTAAATATCTAACTTTAGGTGTTATATATGTAAATACATATGAATTGTGCGATGTGTAAGAAAAATTTTCAAAATAAAAATAACGAAAATCCTGTGTGAAGGTTTTTTTTTGGCATAATTTTTAAGTATGTTATTTTTATTCTATCCCTTTTTACATCCTTTAAATTTCTCAAAAATGTCCATACAAAATCCATTTTGTAGAGGGTACAGCTTGCGGCGAGGTGTGAAATGGATGCTATTTATATTGAAATGTACTTACATGAAGGACACATGTACTTATAGAATTGTTCCTTTTAAATGTTTGTTCTATTGCAAAGCTAGCTTATTTTCAACTCTTTTAGCTAGCCCTCTTTTTTTAACTTTTTGGCACAGATTAATTCACCCACACGATCTCCATGGTTACATTGCTGTCTCTGTTTATGTCATGCTTGATGAATTATTTATTATGCAGAATTCTTTAATATGATCAGAATATATATTTGCAATTTTGGTTGGCTAAAAGTCTGTGTCTAGGCATAAAGCATTTTCTCATTATTAACACAACATCATGGTGTATCGTTGGAGTTCATAAGTGATATGTTTTTACTTTTCTTTTTTTTTTTTCTAAAGAGACGTTTGACTTCTTGACTTAGAAAATCGCTTTAATATTATTTTTTTGCAGTTTATATTTTACATTATGATATATTATGTTTGACATAATTATGGAGAATAGGTGCTTTCCAGTATTTAATTTGGTTTCCGGGAAACTTTGTCTGTGTGAAAAAGTGTAATTCCAAGAAAATATTTCTGATTTTTTGTTTCCTACTTTTTTGTTAAATGGCCACAGCCACTTAATTTCTCTTCATTCTTTCCGCACTATATATACATGACAATTTTCACTTACAATCCATTATTTTAAGATCAAGTCATGTTGCCTCTAGTTATCCGCCTACATCTAGTTTTTTATTTGCATCACATCTTCTATTGCTTGATGCCACAGGATGTGAATTGGACACCTTCAAAAGTGATTTCACGCTTGGGAAAAGAAATAAATGATGAAAGTTCGTACTTGTATTGGGCATATAAGGTGATTTTATTATCAAAATTAATTTCTCAGCTTCTTTTTTTATGGCAGATGTCTAAATTATTTCTAAGCTGTTGGATTATGGCAATATATTGCTTGATGTTTGATTTTATGGAAAATTATTTCGATTTCAGGTTACTTTTGCAGAGCACTATGCTTTTCATGATTCTGAGACGTGATTATTCAACCGTACAAAAAAAGGTTTTTATGAATGAATAGCTTTGAAGAATAAAAATAGAAGTGATGATTTCCTCAGAACAGGCGGTGGAGCGAAAGATGTGATTTAGCTGTTAATATTTCATGATAATTTGCTAAAAATGCAAACTGAAAGTTTGAAGCTGACTGGGCTTGAAGTGGGGTAAAATACTAGCTGCATTAAGAAGATTTCATACGAGTTTTAGGGGAGTTTAGAAGTTGATCAAACTTAAAAAATTCTCGTAGTCAAGTGAAGAGCTACAAAAAACTATTGAAAATAGAAAATTGGGCAAGTTTTTAAGCAAGAAAGAAATGCGATGCAAAAAAATGACTTGAGCGGTAGAACAAATATCTTGGGACTTTGATCAACGTGGTGAATTAAGAATTAAGCTTGTAGGGTGCACTAGGCTAACTAAGTTGAAGATCTTCATAGAAAAACAAACTGAAAGTTTTGAAGTTGACTAGGCCTAAAGTGGGGTAAAATACTAGTTGCATTAAGAACATTTTCATATGAGGTTTGGGGGAGTTTCAGAATTGATCAAACTTAAAAGATGCTCGTTGTCAAATGAAGAGCCACAAAAGGTTATTGAATAATAGAAAATTGGGCAAGTTTCCTAGCATGAAAGAATTGATATGGGAAAAATAACTTGAGCAATAGAATAAATATCTTGGGACTTTGATCAATGCGGTGAATTAAGAGTTAAGGTAGCAGGGTGCACTAGTCTAACTAAGTTGAAGATCTTCATGAAAGGTAAAATTGATTGAGAAATTATTAAATGATACACTTTACAGAAGAAATTTTCTAAATGAGAAAAATGAATTAGATTTTGAAGGATGCTGTTGGTTAAAAAAATAGTGGTCTTGAATTGGTGCTGAAGATGCATAAAGTTAAGATTTTAGGCCTAAATGAGATTCCTATCGAGATTTGGTAGATATTTGACAATATAAGTAACATACTTTTGAAATTAAGGGAATGCTTATTGAGCAAGAGCAGTTATGGTAGGCTTATTATGGTTCGTAAAATGAACTATAGAGATGTTTACTATTATGACGTATGGGTTATACGGTGCAGTTGTGGGAGGCTAATTGAACAAAGTTTGTAAAATCGATTTAGTATCAAGAAGAAATTTAGTTTTATGCCAAGACTTATTATAGATGTGTTATTTGTGTAATTTAATTAATGGTGAAATTTAAAAATAAATGAACATTGAAATAGTTTTAATATTATATTGTTTGATATTGAGAAGGAATATGGTCGAGTTGAACTTGTTGGGCATTAAGATTAAAGGATGTGTGTGAAAGGTTTGTCATAGTTAGGCAAACATATATGATGAAGTAGCATTTAACAATAGAAATAATTATGGAACGTTCAAAATTCAGTCATATTAAGGTAATATCTATGGTCAATGTCATCAGTAGCCTTACCCAACTATTTGTGGTTTGCTTTATGAATCCTTAATTTCCATTCACACAAATCATCTTAAATGAGTTTTATCAGTGTAACCTTAGTTTTTATCCTTTTTAATCATCTGAAACTAATATTATTTGCTTGTCTAATATGCATATTTCTGCCTTTAGTTACATACGTTTAAATCTCTCAACTCTTTGCTAATTATTTTCTTCAGTAGCTAGCTAATGGCGGTGGGTGAATTTTTTATGAGATTAACTTTCGAAAAAGATTATGAATCTTAAGTTTAATGTTTAAGAAAGTCTTTTTTAGTTGAATGATGAGTTTGGAGGGGTATATTGTTAGAAATGCTAAGAGTAGTTTATATTGAGTTAGTTCAGGTTGATTTAGAAGGGTTAATTTGAGGAATGAGATTTTGATGAGACAAATGGCTAGAAATGTTTATTGTGGATGAGCTCGGAATGTGTAGTTGTGATATGGTGTATGGTTAGGTTCGAAGAATTTTAAATAAATGTTGATGAGTAGGGAACGATATTTGGTCTTACTCTCACCTAATTTGGTTGAGAGTTACAGGTGGATTTTAGAGTAGTTGTGAGGCTTGGGTTGGGTGTTAGACAGATTTGGAGAAGTTTTAGGATGCAAAGGATGATGCTTGGTTGATTTGGATTAGGTGTTTAAGGGAGGAGAGTAGCTAAATTAAAATAAAATGATAACTATCTTTAGCTCACAAAATTAAAGAAAATTGTACAATTCAAGCCATCACGTTGCTTGGGTTGATACAACTTCCATATAGATTTTGACAATGTTCTTGGGTCTACTACAACTTACTAATAAATCCACTCAACCGTGTTGCTTGGGTTGATACAACAAATGATTAACTCGTTGATAATTAATAATTGGATATAATAAAATTGTCCCTCAATTAATCAATAATTTTTTAATAATCAAAATAGTGCCCGACTATTTCATGGGGCCGTTTTAGTGTCAGAGTTTAATGAACTGCCAAAATAGTCTCCTGACTTTTTAAATTGGGGTTGAAATGATTTTCATGGAGAACAACTAGAACTCAATTTTAAAATAGTCAGGGACTATGTTGACACTTCTATAAACTTAGTTACTAATACGGCCCCATGTAAATAGTCGGAAGATTATTTTGGCACTTTACTCAATAATTAATATTTTTTCAAAAGTTTTGGATCGTCTACTTTTCTCTCAATTATGTTATAAGCTAGTGCTAGCTGATATATATCCTTCAATTTGAGTTGGAATGTCAGTGTAGGAAGACTATCTTCAATATAGGAAGAGTGATGAGTGGTATATATTTATTTATGTATTCTCTATAACATTGTACTCGTTTTTCTATTATAAATAAAAGGCTTACAAAGAAATGACTTCAATTAACTTTTCAGAATGGAATACCTGTCTTCTGCCCTGGACTAACTGATGGATCTCTTGGAGACATGTTGTATTGTCATGCGATAAGAAGCGGTGGTTTGAATGTTGACATTGTTCAAGGTCCTTAACACTCATTATTTACGTAATTTACAATATTTGTTAGTCTTGTTCCTTGATAATTTGCTTCTCCCTCTTCCTTCAGATATACGATCCATGAATAGCGAAGCTGTTCGAGCTGGTCTTAGGAAGACTGGAATGATTATTCTAGGCGGCGGACTTCCAAAACACCATATTTGTAATGCCAACATGATGCGTAACGGTTCAGATTATGCTGTTTTCATCAACACCGCACAAGAGTTTGATGGCAGTGATTCAGGAGCTCAGCCTGATGAGGCTGTTTCATGGGGAAAAATAAGAGCCTCTGCAAAAACGGTCAAAGTATGTTTTTTATCCTTCTCGTTCGCACATTTGATGCTTATTAATGATGTTATATTTACGTTTGAACTCATGCTAGTGCTTCAAAAATAAATTTCAATGATTGTGCATTGGGCATCTTCTTAGACATGCACACTTCTGGTAAATTTTGAAGTACCAAATCAATCCAAAACCAAAACAAGATTTAAATAAAAACTCATATTATGTTATGTTTGTATCCTCGAAGTAATTAACATCAACATTCTGTTACATGTTAGTCTGATTTTTTTTCTAAGTGTTAAGCTAAAATTCTCAGGTACACTGCGATGCAACCATTGCTTTCCCCCTGCTTGTTGCTGTAACATTTGCAAGAAGGTTTGAAGATGCTTCTACTTCGGCCGACATTAAATCCGACTAAACCCAGTGAGCTTATCCCTCACCTAAGTTAAGATTTCCTCGTTGTATTTGTGCTTTCTGTGACTCTGGCTAACATTTTGATCATTAGCGGATAGTTTGAGACAGCTTGTAGGGATCGGTTGTTATGCTGACAAAAAACAAACCATTTAATTAATATATAATTCAACATTTTTGAAATGTTCCTATTTACAAAATTAACATTGCCAATTTGTGGAAAGTGATTTGCTTCTCCCGACCGTCGAGGGATTATGGTGGTTTGAATTGGCAACTTGTATATTTATTGCTGGATCTCTAAAATTATGTCATTATATAGAACTTAATGATGTAAAATCTATATATTGGAGACAGTAATTATAAATTTAATTTATAATTAGTTATTAAATATATTTAAATTTTAAATGACAACTTTAATATTACATATGGGATATGTAGTGTTGAAATCATGTACATTAACGTATATAAAAATTTATTTCAGCTAGAGTTTTATAGTAAGCCATCATATTTTTCTTGTTGGTAAACAACTCTCTGTAATTATGAAAAAAAATTTCTCAATCTTTCCCTCATAGCACGTGCAGATATTTTATTGCAGTAATAACTGAGAATTAGGGTTGTTTAATAACTGAGATTTAAGTTGCTAGGACTTACTAAATTCTGTAAATTCGAATTTATGAAATGCTGAAATGACTGAATTCTAAAAATTGTTTGGCAATGGATTTCCAATTAAATTCTATAACATTATTTGACAACTTCTGTTAGGACTTAGAAGTTTATAAAGTTTGTTAGAATGCAAAGGCATAATTAAAATTTGATTATGTTATTAATATGGGACAAGCTAATTTTTTGGTTGATTTAATTTAAATTTTATTCCTAGTTATGCTAATTATTAGTTATTCACTAAACTTTTTAATTATTAATAAATATTTTGTTAAATTAATGTATTATGCAACAGTTTAATTTTTATCTATCAACAAGTAATTGGTTATTAATTATATTAATTAATAGTTACATAGAATTTATCAAATAAATTAATATTAAATGTCTTTATTTTAATTATGCATCAAAATTGTTAGCACAAATCTCAAAGCAATTAAGTGACTCACGATGATGATCGGACAATCGAGACATCATACTATAGGAATATAATTTCAGCCGTAATCCAACAACCGATATCCCGGTCGGAGTTGACTGACACACTATGACTATGGACTCAGTCGGTAGGCAACATCTATAGTCCCGGACCGTCTTCAATTTCTAGCTAGGGGTGCTCGACCACAACTTGTCGACCGACTGAAATCTTACTTTGACAGGCTCTCTTGCCACTCAGGTGGTCGTCTCGGTCCTTCAAATCGAGCTCATGTTTGTCGACCAATTGATTACCGTCATATTGAATTCAAATTATAATACAGATTTTGCAGTAAATCATCATGATTAAATTGAATTAAAGACAATTTCCTAACAATTCTCTCCTTTCTATAACTGTATAAATATTCCTCTATAAATAGAGGGCAAAGGGGTGAATAGATGGTCCTCTCCCCATTTTCTTGACAGAGACTTTTCTCGAGTACTCTTTCTCATTCTCTTTATCTCGGCTTTAACCCTTTAGGCATGTGTTCACAAGTGACAATTTAGGATCAAACATCCTGAAAGGTGGTGTGGTAAGCGTGAACATGCCCCAGACGAAGAGCGGAGTCAACAACGAAGGAGAATCCTGTCGAAGAGATGCAACACACATGAAATTCAATAGAGAAATAGTGCATCAGGATATACAAGAAGAGGTCCAGGCGTTGCGAGCACAGACCGCCTGTGACTTACTAACTGAATGACAAGAAGACTCCTCGCATGCCGATAGCGTGGGATCCACATCAATCGCCAGACAATCGTGTCTTCTCCGGGGGGAGGGGGAGGGGGGATGCTTTCTCTCGGAGAATTCTGGAGGCAGTTTCCCTAACAAAGTTGAGAATTTCTCATTTTGAATTAGGAGATACAAACTCTTCTTATCGTATTTTGCCAATGTGTAGATACCGAGAAAGGACACGGAGACCTTGCTCCAGATCAAGCAGGAAGAAAACGAAAGCCTACGAGCTTATATTACCCACTTTCAAAAGGAAACGCTAGAGATGAAGAACTTGGAATCACTCATTGCCCGAACTGCCCTGAAACAGGGGATTCATAACAAGCGATTCAGGTATGGCTTGAAACTACTCAAGCTGAGGATCTTTGCGGAGGTCCTGGAATTGACCAACGATCACATTGCTGTTGAAAAGGACCTCATGGATTTCCAGAAACTGCTTCGAGGATGTTCGACATTCGGTTGCAAAAGCGAAAAGGTCGGGGCGACAACAGGAAGCTGAAGAACGATCGAGCACCCAGTGGTTGGCAAATCGACAATCCTCAACCTCGGGAAGGTAAGATTTCTTAGAAAGAGAATTTGACAAGCTTTGATACTTATTGGCCTAATGACTAGGATGATCTGTTATAGTGTTTATTCCCAACGCGTCGATCACAAGGCCTAACATGGCTTTCCCGCAGGAACATCTACAATAGATCCAGTGTGCTTGACAAGATTTAGCTTTGGATCTCGCTTGCTTGCAAAAATGAATGGATCTGAAGGAGGCTGATTTCAAGGTTGAGTTTAGTGACTCATCAATGATAAGTTGGGTCATAAATGAGTTAAGAATGGTAGTACTGTCCGGATCAGCAGTTAACACGGTACTTGATTGACCACACGTGTATCAGGAGATACAAAGATCGACATCTCTAAATGTGTCGATGGTCGAGTTAGTCTAGACCATTCAAAATAAAAACTACTTCAAGAAGTCCTCTCAGGTGAAAACTTCATCAGCATTGCGCAATCCCAATAAGTATTATGCCTACTATCGAAACTACGGACACGACACGAAGGAATGCTGCCACCTCCAGAACTTGGTGGAAGAATTCATTAAAGCCAACAAATTGAAAGAATTCGTAGCCATTAGAGCACACACACAATGACATGGTAAGGCCCCAGCCAAGGAGCCCAAGAATGGTCCTGTTCGGCCAAACGAGATCCATTTGAATGGAATCATCCTGGCCATGTGTTGACCTCATTTTTAGTGAGGTCTTAAGTCTCCTACTCTTAGAACCTAGGATCTAGATTTAGGAGTTCTTATTGACCATCCTAGCGGACTAGCGATGGAGCCCACCTCCCATAGAACTTCAAATTGCTTCTTTACTCATTTTTTGTGAAAACTCGCACGAATGGTCCCAAGCACTCAACTTCTAGTTGCAAGGGCTAAGGACCAACATGCAGAGGGTCTAAAAATGAGTTCCTATAGGATCAAACGACCTTAGGTTAACCCTCGGTGGCTCGGCAACGCACTTGTTGCATCACGCACAATTTTGGCTTAAATTGACTCGCCCGCCGGCAAACTCGTCCGGACGACCCCGGATGACGAAACGGACT